GCGGCATCCTGACTTGTGTCAGGAGCAGTGTGGCCAGCAGCAGTACAGAGGTGATTGTGCCCCTGTGCGCGGCGCGCGTGAGGCCGCACGTCGAGTGCTGTGTTCAGTTTCGAGCCCCTCACTACAAGAAAGACATTGAGTTGCTGGAGCATGTCCAGAGAAGGGCAACGAGGCCGGTGAGGGGTCTGGAGAACAAGTCTTACGAGGAGCAACTGAAGGAACTGGGGCTGTTTAGTCTGGAGAAGAGGAGGCTGAGGGGGGACCTTATTGCTCTCTACAAATACCTGGAAGGAGGCTGTAGTGAGGCAGGGGTTGGTCTCTTCTCCCAGGTAACTAGCGATAGGACAAGAGGCAATCAAGTTGCGTCAGGGGACATTCAAATTAGATATTAGGAAAAAATTCTTTACTGAGAGAGTGGTCAGACATTGGAATGGGCTGCCTAGGGACGTGGTTGAGTCACCGTCCCTGGAGGCGTTCAAAAAAACATGTAGATGTCGCGCTTTGGGATAAGGTTTAGTAGGCATGGTGGTGTTGGGTTGACAGTTGGACTTGATGATCTTAGAGGCCTTTTCCCACCTGTGATTCTATGAGTGATAAAACAGCTTCGTTAATAGCTCAGGAGAGGTGTAAAGTAACATCTATTAGAGGGATTCAAGTTGCGTTTAAAAGTCGTAAAGGAACTGGTTGAAGGGAGTGTTTTCTCTGTTGTTTCAATTTGTCTTGGTTTCTGAAGGAGTTCCTGGGACCTTTAGTGAATGTTCAGGTTTAACCACTGCTCAGAAAGGTAGTAAGTCTGACGCAAGTCTTGGTAGGCCAGTTAGCCCAATGTCTGCCAGGCCACGAGGGTGGGAAAGCTGATACGGGATCAAGTGCCTGAAGAACTAAATGGTAAGAATATAAACAATACTAGATGACAAGTTTTTAGGTAGAATAACTCATCAACCCTAATTTAGGGGTTTTTGCTAAGATAATATATTTAGTTAATAAAAGCAACGGCATTGAAGTGATTTGTTTGGGGGTAGGTGACAGAAATTCTGTGCGTGCGTGTGTTAAGTTTTGGAGAGAATAGGGCATTTGTACAGAAGAGCCTGGGTTGCTCGTTGGACAAACACTGCAACAGAGTGGTGTGAAAGCCGACGGGAGCACAGGTCATCCCTATGGAAACGTCATCATTCAGGGTGAGGGAGTCCTTAATATTGCTTTCTGTCCATTTTTGTGTGCTAGGACGGGGCGCTGTAACATTCTGGCAGGTTCATCGCAGCTATTTCAAAGGGGAAAAAGGATTCTTGGCCACGAGCTGGCGGGGCTCATTGAGAGGGCTTTAAGCTAGGTTCGAAGGGGGAAGGGGACATCGCCCAACTCACGAGGGATGAGCCTAGGCTTGGCGTGCCAGGGTCAGGGGTGAGATTGGCAGCCCAGCTCAAGTGTGTCTATACCAACGCACGTAGCATGGGCAATAAA